CCCTACTCTAATGGGTTGCTTTTCAAAAAAGATGCTGAAGCTTAATAAGACTGCTTTTACACAGTTCAAGTATTGATTTCAATTCTGCTCGCATGTTGGAGAGAGGGGGTGAGAAGAAAAGGGTACACATGCGTCTGTACCGTCAAGTCGTTTCAACTTTCTTGCTTTGCTTTTGGCATTTTCGTTGCTTCCCATTTAAAGAACCAAAAACTTGAATTCAACAGAATTGAAACGTGTAAAAGCAAATAGGAACCACAAAAGAGAATGAGCAAAAATTGCTTTCAAGTACTTGAATCATGTAAATCAGGTGAAAGTTTGGCGTTTCCGATACAAGTCCTTGTTTTCGATACCTACTTGTATCGCAGTAAAAAGTATCGAGTAAAAAACAACTTGGTAAATTGAGAAAAGTATCGAGTATGTACTTGGATTTACTTTTATCGATTTATCCCTACATACGGTTTGCTACAGCTCTAATTGTAGTTGATTTGTTTTGATTTTCCAGTAGAACAAATTTCTGAGTTGAGTTTGGGAGATAATTGGTTCATAGGAATGGCTGCGAAAGTGGTGAGTGTCTCATAAATGCAACAAAGAAAATATAATTTAATTATGGAGCTGCAAATACCCGGGTATTATGTAACAGATTAAAGTCTGCTTGGCTTTCCTTTACATCACCCCCACGTTTATACGTAAGCTATTTGCAAATACCTAACTCAATGTTTATTCGACGGTGAAAAATTGTTATTTAATGCCTGATTATAAAAATTCAATAATACCCTCGAAAAAGGTAATAAGGGTGGGGTTTAGTAGCGCTCACAACTATTTCGGGCTATTCCGTCCAAAGGGGTGGCCCGATCCAAAAAAAAATTCCACACACTTATAGTCAAGGGTCTACGCATTATTTTAACACCCACTTTTGTAATTTTTGGTCACTAATTTATTTACAAATTGGGTTAGAAATATGCCCTTTTTTGTAAAATGCGGAAATTAGCGTAAATTTATCACTCTTATTCTCCTTAAAGCAGCCACTTCAGCAATATATTTTTATATTCTCCGTCACTTTACACTTTACTCGATGAGTTATAACTTTCTCTATGACTTTAATATTAACCAATTAATCGCAATTTATTAAATAAAAACACCTAAATCATGCGTCTGACTTTGGTTGCATATGCAAATTAAATGGTGGAGTTCAGCTGTCAAACTCCAAAATATGCAAAAGAATGAGAGACAAAAGAAAATAGGATATAACCCTGTAAGCATTAAAAATATACAAAGGTGTTCTCTGCAAAAGGTGTTCAGCTCCTTTTCTTCGCAAAACAGAAAGGAGAATTCTACTGCCCGAGGTATGCGGCCTAAGTCCGCCTAGGCAGAAAGTTGTTCTCTGCAAAAGGTGTTCAGCCCCCCTTTGGCAACACAGAAAGGAGAATTCTACTGCCTGAGGGTTATAATCCCTAAGTGCGGCCGAAGGCCGCCTACGCAGAAAGGTGTTCTCTGCAAAAGGTGTTCAGCCCCCCTTCTTTGGCAACACAGAAAGGAGAATTCTACTGCATCAGGGTTATAATCCCTAAGTGCGGCCGAAGGCCGCCTACGCAGAAAGGAATTCTACGCAAAAATACATTTGTTAAAAAGAAATTTTTTTTTATAAAAACTTGTTTTTTCTATTTTTAATTAACTTTTTTATTCTTTATTCAAAATCGCCCGATATCTAATTTGGCATAATTTCTTTTATTAAATAATCCCACGTTTTCTGTTAGTTGGGTCATATTCCACTTCAAACTGCTCTGTTTGCCTAAGAAAATTCTGTTTTTTTCCCTTTTTCAAACGGTTCCCTAGGGGACTGTGGGAGGAGCCCAAGGGGGGAATACGCCTTTTTAGAAAGCAGGGACTGTCCCCTTTCTAGTGGGGAGGGTTTGGGGGTCTCCGCCCCCTTCCCCCTCCGCCCCACCCTAAAAACGATGTGAGCGCTACTAAACATTTCCCGAAAATAAAGTTAAAAATGGCAACGTCTTGATTATAAAAAGGCAATAAGATGACCATCGAAAAAGAAAATAAACCTAAGAATGGCGGCGTCTTGCGCTTATTTGCAAATAGTACCGCTAATCAATACTTATTTGCGTGGGGTGGGGTTTAGTAGCGCTCACAACTATTTCGGGCTATTCCGTCCAAAACGGTGACCCTATCCAAAAAAATATTCCACACACTTATAGTCAAGGGTCTACGCATTATTTTAACACTTTTGTAAATTTTGGTCACTAGTTTATTTACAATTTGGATTTGAAATATGCCCTTTTTTGTAAAATTCGGAAATTAGCGTACATTTATCACTCCTATTCTTCTTAAAGCAGCCACTTCACCAATACATTTTTGTATTACCCTTCACTTTACACTTCACTCGATTAGTTATAACTTGCTTTACGACTTTAATAGTTACCAATTAATCGCAATTCATTTGGGTACTGTTTATGAATTTGTACAACGATTTTGGGTTGCTGTGCCCAAACGCGTGAATCGAATCAAAAAACTTTTACACACACTTGTAGACAACAGTTCACGCTTTATTACAAAAATAATTAACTAAATCTGTGCACTAATTTAACAATAATGTCGGTTGAAAATATAGTATTTGTTGCAAATTTTTGTTATAAATTTGTATATACATTTTTATATACAAGATATTTTTATAAAACACCCAGTAACCAAAATAGACATCAATGGGGCGCCTTTTTAGAAAGCGGGGACTGTCCCCTTTCTAAAGGGGAGAGTATGGGGGCCTCGCCCTCCCCCTCCGCCCCACACCCCAAAAACGATGTGAGCGCTACTAAACATTTCCCTTTGCGTGATTTATACGGAAACGTTTACCATTTTGCAAATTGTTATTTGCAAATAAAAGCTCTGATCCAATACTTTTCGTGAAAAATCCTGTAAAACTGTCAAACAGCAAAATTACTTTCTGAAGTGAGAGTAAAAAGTGAATAACAACAAACAGTACGGGAACAAAAAAAAATATTTTTCATGTAAAAACGTCAACCAGTGATTGCTTGACACTTCATGATTTTACCAGAAGAAAAAGTTCGGGTAAAATCTTGCAACTTCATTCTCTACACAACTCTCCAAAAGTCGCTCTCACTTACAGGATTTTGGAGTACGGGAACATTTTTCCTACAACTTCCTGCAAGTTCGTGTAAAATCCTGTAAGTTCATGGAGTACTGGATCAGAGCTAAAGTGTTATCAGTGTAGTATGAAATGAATTGGGTACTGTTTAGTACGTTGCCGGGTAGTAGTGCACTTTACGGGAACCAGGTCAAAATGGAGGGAACAAATCGAGAGTGGTATCAATCGACGCGTTTTAACGCGCACAATAACAATCCGGGGGGAGGGGGGAACCCAGATTTTTAATTAATTTAAGTGTTATTCGCAAAAAACACTTGCACTTTGCACTTTTCGCACCATGTTTTGATGAATTTGATGCAAATAAATGGAGTAAATGAAAGTTGTTCTCTGCAAAAGGTTTTCAGCAAATAACAATTTGCAAAATGGTAAACTTTGCCGTATAAACGCTGAGTTAATTTTTTATTTGCAAATA